GTACTATTGCCTCTGGCAGTGGTGATGTCGATCTTCAGACTGCTCGTGCTCTCTATGTCAAGGAGAGTTCAGAGTGGCAATTGCAGGAATTTCGTGTTATGGATTATCTCACTCGCTGTGTTGGCTCTGGTCTCACTGTCGAGATTGGCTCGCTTCCCTCTGCTCAGGCCATGTGGACTCGTCTCACTGAGCGTTTCACTGAGTGCTCGGGTGCACGGGAGGCATATCTTCTGCAACGCATTTCTCTACAACGCAAAGGTAGTTCATCTCTGCAGTCCCATTTTGGACAAATGCAAGCTTTTTGGACAGAGTTACGCTCCATGCTTCCTGGACGTAATTCCACATATGAAGACTGGCTAGCCTGGTACGAACGGCATGAGGTGCATCAATTGTTTCAGTCCCTTCCTGAATATTCAACTATGGCTGATCAACTACTTCACCAGCCTCAATTTCCGACTTTGGCCTCAGTTATGGGAGCTCTCACTGCTTATGAGACCCGGCAGCAGACAGCACGACTCAATTTGTCAACAGACACTCCTACCTCTTCACTCGAGACTGTTTTGTCTGTACCTGTCACTGCTCCTGTTATGAATTATACTTCTCCACAGGCTCCCTCTCCACAGGCTCGATCTAAGCTCTCTTGCAAATATTGTAAGAAGGAAGGACACCGCATTGAGACATGCTTCAAGCTTCATCCTGAGTTACGTTCCTCAGGTACTGGACGTGGTCGGCGACCCCCTCAGTCTCAACCCTCTCGTACACCAGGATTGTTGGCCAATGCTATACCTTCTACTACTTCAGACTCTACTATTCAAGCTATTGAAAGTCTTCGCCGTCAACTTGATGCTTTTCAACATATCACCTCTACATCCGCCGCACAACTCTCTGGTATGCATTTTGCTGGTTCTTCAGCTAATCCTTCAGTCTCTGGTATGAATGATCTCTGGATTTTTGACTCTGGTTGTTCCTTTCATATGACTTGTAATGCCTCACTTTTATCCTCTGTCTTTACTTCATCCTCTCTTCCTCCTATCTACACAGCTGCTGGACAACCATTGTCCATTACTCAGTATGGCTCTATTACCCCACAAAATGATCCATCTGGTCGTCTAACACTTGGTCCCGTCTATGTGGCTCCACAATTGTGCTTGAATTTAATTTCTATTAGCTCTTTATGCATGGCGGGCCTGTTTGTCTCATTTTCTTCTGATACTTGTATTGTGCAGGATCCACAGACGGGCAAGACGGTTGGGGCGGGTCGTAGGAGGCACAAACTGTATTTTCTGGAATATCTTCACCTTCCAGAGTCCATACGTCCACGTTCTCTTGTTGCTTCTCTTTGTTCGTCAAAACCCTCTACCTCGCTTCCTGCCAATTTATGGCATAGACGACTTGGTCATGTGTGTAATAAAAGGCTGGAGAGTCTTATTCAGTCTGGAGTACTTGGTCCTGTATCATCTAGTTCTAGTATTGAGTCATGTGCTGGTTGCAAATTGGCTAAATTCACTGCTTTACCATTTAAAATGAGTACATCTGTATCCACTTCCTTATTTGATTTAGTACATTCTGATATTTGGGGGCCAGCTCCTTTGCCTTCTTCATCTGGCTACTTATATTATGTTAGTTTTATCGACGATTTCTCTCGTTTTACATGGGTTTACCTACTTAAGAATCGCTCTGACGTACTTACTGCTTATCAAGCCTTCACTGCTATGATTTTCACTCAATGGCAATCTCGTATTAAAGTTTTTCGTTCTGATTGTGCCAAAGAGTACCTATCCTCTGCCATGCGCTCTATCATGTCCTCTCATGGGACTATCTTTCAACAGTCATGTCCCTACACTCATGAGCAAAATGGTGTTGCTGAACGCAAACATCGTCATATCCTCGATACTGCCCGATCAATGCTCATTTCTTACTCTGTTCCTCGTCGTTTCTGGGCTGAGGCTATTCTCACCGCGACTCATGCCATTAATATCACTCCATCTAGCTCTCTTTCCGGTGCTACTCCTTATAGTCGTGTTTATACTCATCCTCCCCGTTATGATCTAGTTCGCGTTTTTGGTTGTCGATGTTTTGTTTTTCTGCCATCTCACGAACGTGATAAATTGTCTCCCAGAGCAGTTTCTTGTGTTTATTTAGGAATTAGTTCAGAACATCGAGGTTATCGTTGTTATGATCCCGCAACTCGTCGAGTTCATATATCTCGTCATGTTCAGTTCGAAGAGGATTCTCCATATTATTCTACTTCTGATGACTTTAATTTCCTCCACTCTACCGATCATGCTTCCCCGTCCACTGCATCACCCACTTCTTCACCTCAATTTTCCTTTCGAGATCTCCCTGACATCTCTCCCTCTCCTTCTGTTGACTCTTCCTCACCTGAGTCTTCTCTTACACCATCTAATCCATATCCTGTGGACACAACTCTCACTCCAGAAAATACTGTTGATCTTCATGCACCTGCGCCAGCATCTCCCCCGCCTGAGGTTCCTCTTGCTCTTCGTCGAGGCAAACGCCCACATGTCATGCCTGCCCGGTATGCTTCTGTTACTTCTTATTCACCTATCTTTCATAACTTTCTTGCTGCCATTCATACTATTGTTGAGCCAAAGTCCTTCCAAGAGGCAGTTCAAATTCCAGAGTGGCGACAAGCTATGGCTGAGGAATTTCAAGCATTTCAGCAAACTCATACCTGGGATATTGTTCCCTGTCCTCCTGGGATCTCTCTTGTTGGCAGTAAATGGGTTTATAAGGTCAAGTTTCGTCCTGATGGCACCATTGAACGTCGAAAAGCTCGTTTAGTGGCTAGAGGTTTTACTCAGCAACAAGGTATTGATTATGAGGAGACCTTTGCTCCTGTTGCTCAGATGCCCACTGTGCGTACTCTCCTTGCGGTCGCTGCTGCTCATCGTTGGCCCTTATACCAGATGGATGTCAAAAATGCTTTTCTTCATGGCTCTTTATCAGAGACCGTATATATGCAACCGCCTCCAGGGTCAAATATTCCTCCGGGACATGTATGTCTCCTTCGTCGTGCTGTTTATGGTCTCAAACAGGCACCCCGCGCTTGGTTTGAGTGTTTTCGCGATGTTGTGCTCAAAGCGGGCTTTATAGAAAGTCATCAAGATGCTTCTCTGTTTGTTCGCACTACATCGCGTGGCAGGGTTTTATTACTCATCTATGTAGATGATATGATCATTACAGGTGATGATATGACAGGTATACAATACGCAAAATCTCAGTTGCAACAACAGTTCCACATGAAGGATCTTGGATCTCTTCGGTATTTCCTTGGTCTAGAAATTTCTCAAGGCCCGCGGGGTGTATTACTGTCTCAACAGAAGTATCTCTCAGATATTCTAAATCAAGCTGAGTTAACTGATAATACAACTGTCGATACTCCACTCCAGCAGAATGTCAAACTTTGCTCTACTGACGGTGAGCCTCTATCTGATCCTACCCGATATCGACATCTTGTTGGTCAGTTGGTCTATTTGTGCATCTCTCGACCAGATATCTCTCATGCTGTTGGTATTGTCAGTCAATTTGTTAGTGCCCCACGTTCTGTACACTATGCTGTCTTATTACGGATTCTTCGGTACCTCCGGGGTACTAGCACTCGCTCACTTTTGTTTCCTGCTACATCTAAGTTAGAGCTTTGTGCATATTCTGATGCTGATTGGGCTGGTGATCCAACTACCAGAAAGTCTACCACAGGTTATTGTATATTTCTTGGTGATTCCCTTATTTCCTGGCGAAGTAAGAAACAAGATGTTATTGCTCTTTCCAGTACTGAGGCAGAGTATCGTGCAATGTCCACAACAGCTAAAGAGATTATTCATCTTCGTCGCCTTCTCAGTGATTTCGGTATTTCTGTTACGACTCCTACTCCTCTCTACTGTGATAATAAGAGTGCCATCCAGATTGCTAATAATCCAGTATTTCATGAAAGGACCAAACATATTGAGATCGACGCTCATTTTGTCCGTCACCAAGTTATCAAGGACAAGACAATTCTACTTCCTCATGTTTCATCCGCTGACGAGCTTGCAGATTTCTTCACAAAGGCCTTACCTGTTCATCGGTTCCAGTTTCTTGTACGCAAACTCACTTTGTTTGATCCAACATGAGTTTGAAGGGGGCTGTTGATAATAGTGTATTGTAGTGGGTTTTAGTCCCACATTGCTTGGGAGAACAAACCTCACACTCCTCTACTTGTATAAATATATGTGCACACTCAATATTCAATTCAAGGGAAATTTACCCAAGATTCTCTCTCTCTCTCTTACTTTAACACTCTCTAATGCATTTGGTAAAATCTTTAACTTTTTTAAGGTTGGCACACACTAACATGCGAGGTTTTATTCTTTAGATTTGCATTTTTCTAACGTGTCTAATGTGTGTCTGGAAAGTAGCGTAAAATTGTAAAAGTGCTGATTGCTCTAATGTGTATAAAATAGGAGCGGAAAGTGGAAACAACAGAAGCGAAATGATACAAAACTATTTGAACTTGGTTCGAATTCGTATTCTAATTCGATTCGAGTACAAAAAGCGTATGCAAATTCGATTCAGTTATATTATATTTTGCCTATTTGTCTCATACTTGTAAACAATTGAATAGAGTAAATGGTAGTACTTTTTTTTTTCTTGTATTTGATGATTTTGCATTTTAAGCTTGCGTCACGGTTTGAGCCCAGTGTTTGTATTTTCTTACATAGTTTTTGGTTTTGACATTGTAAAAGCATTACTATTTATAAATGTTTTGACATGTTACTTCACAGTTTGTATTTTTTTATATGGTATTTAATTTTGACATCTTAAAAACATTTCTAGAAATGCTTTGACATTTTACTTAACTATAAAATAAGTTTGCACATTACGATAAATTTGACAATACTCGTTCCAGATGTCTAATGTATTGTTACATTTCTTTCTCATGTTTAAGCTATGATGATTTCATAGTAGTATAACATTCATGATTATTTTTGGTGGTGTAGGTGGTCATCAAGGAGGAGGAAAATAGGAGGGAACTTCTAATGTTGAAGAAAGTTGAATTGTTAAGAATGCCCTTGGATGAGGTATACTGGATCTTTTATGTTGTAAAATTTTACAGTATCTGGTTTTCTGTTGTAAATTTTACTGTTATAATTTAGTCTTTCTTTTTGTGTTTTTATGATATTAGGCCCCTAAATCCTTAGTATTTCAAGAATAGTCCCTCAGATCACTGAAATTACTATTAGGTCCCCCATTCTTATTATTAGTTTCAATTTAATCTCTTTAACTAAGAGTAGCAGGAGCAAGGTATAAGAACTTGGGGACCAATGACAATTTCAATGATTTGAGGTGCTAATTTTAATATATTAAAGATTTAAGGGAAAAACATCACAAAAAAAATCCAACTAGTTTTGTTCTCTTGGTTTTGGACTGGTCTGTTTTGCTGAAATTATTATTTTATACTTAAAATTCTCATTTTTTTTACTTTTTGATGACTCTGTGTTTTTCAATATTTAAAGATGGATTTGTAACTTGGGTAATATTTTCATTTCTGAAAATATAATTATTTCTGGAAGCATATCCCTCTATACAATCCTTGACAACCCCTGGAAAGCAGTCATATGCTGGGGATTGGCACACTGGGCTCTATCGAGGGCATCTTTTATTCTAAGTCCTTCTTGGCATGGTCCTTCAAACTATGCTTAAGTACCTATTCCTCAAGGGTTGCTTCAAGTTTCCAGCCGTAATTACGTAAGTCCCGCTTGTCTTCTGGTTCTATGGCATTTGCTCAGTACAAAAACAACCAATATTTGCTCCATGTTGTTCCCAAGCATAGAGCGTGATGGAGTGAATAATAAGTTCCATAAAAGATCAATTGTAATTTTAACCCGGAATCGTTGTTGGACTTTAACATTTTGTTCATGGATAAGCTTCGAACAGAAGTTAGAAGTTCCTAGCTTGGGCCAGATAAATTTTAAGATGACATGAATAAGGCAGTTATTTACATTAAGGCTCATATAGGATCCTGGAGCACCGAGGAAGCTGGCTTAAGTTCTTCATACTAAGATTTATGATTCTTTTTTTTTTCCTTGCTGATTCCGTTATGATTCCATTTTCTCTGCAGATCAGTCCTTCAAAATTTGAAGCTGATGTTGGGGAAGGTCAAAGGCGCAAACCGTGAGTTATTGTTAGAAAGTTTTTGCATCTCGTTAATATGCGTCATGATCTCTCAAACTTACTGCTTTTGCTTTTTTTTTTTGCTTTTTATAATTTAGGTATCATCACATTTATCTTCCTGGTGGTGGGTTTTCATTGCATGAGCTATCAAAAGAGATGTTGTTAAACAGAGAAAATGATATTCTGTATAATGTCTGTGGATTTGGTGAAGACCTGCAGTTTTGTGATCTTTGTCCAAGGTCATTCCACTTAGGTAATAACCCTTTTCTTTAGATTTTCATGACTTTAGACATCAATAAAATTCTTCAGTTTACTGCTTAATTTTAAGCAATAAACCAGATCCTCAGTTTAGTGCCTAAGTTTACTCATCATTGTTGTGGTGTTAATATTAGAAGCTTCTTATCTTTGTAGCTTGTCTTTGTGCTTATATGCTGATATGGAAATTCAATTTTTCGCCCTTCATGGTTCTAATCATTGCCATCTTCTACAATGGTGAGTTTGCTCATAACAACATTTAATACATGTCTTTTTGTTTCTTTATCATGATTTTTTTCACTTAGACTTTTCCATTTACAATTTGGTAATTGCAGGTACTACTATGACATTACAAAAGAAGCGAGTGAAGCCAACGCCAATGCCCGACAGTTGGAGGCTGAAGGAGATTTTTGCTACTGGTTTTGTGTCTGGCAGCTGATTTCTCCTCTGTACGCAAGTTATTCCCTAGTTTATTTTGACTTGAATTTGTCCTTCTTCTGTACCATTTTTGCAGTTTACTTATCTGCAAGCTAGTTCTTGTTTCTGCAAACTTGCTTCTGTTAATCGTCGTAACTATTAATAACATATTTTATTCTCATGTCTAGGCATGATAAATTCGGTGCGCGATCAATTAGGCATGGTGTGGATGAATGATGGCTGCTTTGTTGAACCTAGTTGCAAATTTGACCATCCTGTTGGAACTTTCACATACAGCCTTTCAACATCACAGCAGTGCAGCAATTAAGGAATCCTTCAGATAGCAGTGAGGTGTAATCCTGAAGGCTTTCTGTATCAGAACCTCGGCAAATGACCTCTTGTAGTGAAAATATTTAAGGAGAGAGATCAAATATTGAAGCATCAGTCAAGTTACCTTCCAAATTCATGATGTTCCGACTCTTTGATCAGGAGGCCCTCTTACATAACAGAAAAATGCAGGATCTCCCAAGTTCCACATGATTCATCTTGTTACTGTGCATTCTGCTTCATTTTAAAGGGTGAAAGATGAAAGGGTAATTGCGGATTTAACCCATGTACTGTTATCCCATTGTGGATAGGCCCCATATAGTTCTATTGGTTCGGATGCACTCCATGTACTATCGCCCACTTGTAGATAGAGCTCCTGAGTGTTTTCTTTTTCATTTTTTTTGGCTCTAAATGTCTCTCTTTATTCTTTATTTTTAATCCCTAATGTAATTCATTCTTCAAAAATTGTGAATTTACATGTTGTTTCTTTTATCAATAAAATTGTATTAGACTGAAAGAGATGCAGTGTGCTACATGTTTTCATTTAGCTGCCCGGTTGTCCCTGGTCTGGATATATTCAGTAGATTCTAATTTATACATATAGTACCAAATTATTAGTTTGAGGTTAAGTGACGTAGCTAGAATATTGCAACTGATTACCAGGTTCATTTTTTCTGTTTTTGTAGGTTATTTTATTTTATTTTATTTTTAGTTCATTATTACAAATGCGGTTTGATTATTGTCTCAATCCGTAAAGAAAGTATAATTTGAGCTTAATTATATGTGCACATTGCGGAATAGCCAACTTGGTTACTCTTGTTTTACAACTTATACCTGCGATTTTCCACTTTTATTGGGAACCAATAAAATGCACATCTAAGGAATATGGAGGGCTTTTCTGCAGTGCCATATAACCTAAATAAAAATTTTGAGCAATATTACTTTTGGATTTATCTTATCCCTAAATTTAGTAAGTTGTCTCAAATTGGTTCCTCTGGTTATTTTGATCACACATCAACCTGACTCGATTAACTAGTCCGATTAAAGTTATCGATGTATTCATCTAATCTCTGGTGAATGGCATAGATCATTCCATTTTATATCGTCTTCTAATATAATCTTTACTCTAAAGAAGTAAGAATCTTATTAGAATCATCTATATAGGAACGAGTGAAGTGGATTTTGACTATAAAGAGAAAAACTGAAGTTAAAACTCTAACCTTTTGCCCACCCACCAATGACATAGATCCCCCAAAGAACATTTACCGTAGCCTTCACTAGTGAGAAAGCCCCAACCTGTGCCCTATCATTAAAGAGCCAAATATTAAGTTTCCACCTAATTTCGGAGCTTCTAACCTGAAAATGAGGTTTTATCATTTTGTGACGTTGCAGGTAATTTTTCCTCCCCTTTCCACAAATGCATTGGCGATTTAAACTTGGGAAACATAAACTGAATGACCCTTCAATTTTCATTTTTAGTGTGTCAGGCCTTGGAAATACTATTTGGGCAAATAGACTTTCTGTTTAATTCTAGTATTTGGGACTGTTATTCTAATTTGGATTTCTTTTCAATTTATAAAATCTTTGGTAGCTGTTTGATATATTTTTTTGTCCCTGCGCTGATGATCTGATGGTGATTTTTCATTTTATCTAACGCCAAATTGAGAAAGTTTTACTAATGCTAATGTTTTTAGTGTGAAATTTTATTGTTTGCTAGCTGAACGAAGATTTTTTTAGGGATCTTTTCTTTTACCCCAAAGTTTTACTCCAACTTATTTTTTACAAAATGCCTCTTAAACCCAAAAATACAAAGATCACTTATTTTTAAACTTAAGTCTTCATAATACGTATAAGTATACATTATATACATATTCAAAACTTTATATCCCCGTATTACCCTCCCCTTCATTCTCTTTTCTACTCTCTGCTCCCTTCCAAACAACTTTTCACTACCCCATTGATCACCTGTCTCCTCCATAGCTCTCCAATTTATCATTTGAATTGCTTTCCTCCTCCTAATTGAGCTCTTTTCTTCCTATCACTCCTCCACTTCCTCCACAAAAGGCTTCACCATGGAGCTCACACGCGACATCAAGTCCACCGGTTGTCCCTCCACTCCTTAGCCAACTAGCTCAGACAATTCAAACTCATTCTTGACTGTGGACTGCTCTGACCAACTAGCTCACATCCTCCATCTCGACTTCAGCCATTTTCAACAAGGTCCTCGCTTAAAGACCAGCTCCACCACATTTTCCTGCAATCACAAGATTACTTTTATGTTGAATTGAATTAGACTTTGGATTATAAGGCTTGGAATGAGAAAATATATAGACAAAGTTTGATGTATATTGTGTGTTAGATGAAATGCTTCAAAAAGAGTTTTAGTTGATTTGTAATATTTTGCAAGATAATGTGTATTATATAGAATTTATTTGATGCACACCACATGTTTGATAAAAATGCTTTATGTTGATAATAATGTATTGTAGTGAGTTTTAGTCCCACATTGGTTGTGAGAACACACCTCACCCTCCTCTACTTGTATAAATATATGTGTACACTCAATATTCAACTCAAGAGAAATTTACCCAAGACTCTCTCTCTCCCTTACTTTAACATGGTATCAGAGCTAGGGTTATTATTTCCCTTCCAATAAATTTTTTTAACGCTTCTGCATTATTTTACCAAATCTTGGCCTTGCTGCTTTGCAGCCTCTTAACAGATTTCACGTTTTCATTTTAACCTTCGAGTTTCTATATTAACCTTCGGGTTCTATTTTAAACCTTTGAGTTTCATTCTAACATTCGAGTTCTATTTTAAACCTTCGGGTTCTATTTTAACGGCATCGCCATTTCAAGGCCATCTATTAGTCTCAAATTTACGGCATCACTGCTTTCAAGATCGTCTCTTGGTCTCAAATTAACGACATCGTCGTTTCAAGCCGTCTCTTGGCCTCAAAGGAACGACATTGCCGTTTCGCAGTCAGTAACGGCATCACTGTTTCAATCCATCTCGACGTCTTAACATCCGTCTCAACATTGTTGTTATGGCTCCTTCAGAGAAGATTCTCAAACCACCTTTGCCCCTCAATGATCAAAGTGACTGGGCAGGGTGGTCCACCATTGTCACCAATACCTTGCGTGGCACTGGTTTGCTTGATCATCTCACTAGTACAGGACCGGTTCCACCGTCCATCAACACTGTTGCTTCATCCAATACTATTGCATCTGGCAGTGGTGATGTCGATCTTCAGACCGCTCGTTCTCTCTATATCAAGGAGAGTTCAGACTGGCAGTTGTAGGAAAATTGTGTCATGGATTATCTCACTCGCTGTGTTAGCTCTGATCTCATTGTCGAGATTGGTTCGCTTCCCTCTGCTCGAGCCATGTGGACTTGCCTCACTGAGCGTTTCACTGAGTGCTCTGGTGCACGAGAGGCATATCTTCTGCAACACATTGCTCTACAACGCAAATGTAGTTCCTCTTTGTAGTCTCATTTTTGACAAATACAAGCTTTTTGGACAGAATTATGCTCCATGCTTCGTGGACGTAATTCCACATATAAAGACTAGCTAGCCTGGTACGAACGACATGAGGTGCATCAACTGTCAGTCCCTTCCTGAATATTCAACTATGGCTGATCAACTACTTCATCAGCCTCAATTTCTGACTTTGGCCTCAGTTATGGGAGCTCTCACTGCTTATGAGACCCGACAACAGATAGCACAACTTAATTTATCAACAAACACTCCTACCTCTTCACTCGAGACTGTTCTGTCTGTACCTATCACTACTCCTGTTATGAATCATACTTCACCACAGGCTCCCTCTCCACAGGCTCGATTTAAGCTCTCTTACAAATATTGCAAGAAGGAATGACACCGCATTAAGACATGCTTCAGGTTTATCCTAAGTTACGTTCCTTAGGTACTAGTCATGGTCGGCGACCCCCTCAGTCTCAATCCTCTCGTACACCAGGATTGCTGGCCAATGCTATACCTTCTACTACTTTAGACTCTACTATTCAAGCTATTGAAAGTCTTTGCCATCAACTTGATGCTTTTCAGCATATCACCTCTATATCCGCCACACAACTCTCTGATATGCATTTTGCTGGTTCTTCAACTAATCCTTTGATCTCTGGATTTTTGACTCTGACTGTTCCTTTCATATGACTTGTAATACCTCACTTTTATCCTCTGTCTTCACTTTATCTTCTCTTCTCCCTATCTACATAGCTGCTGGACAACCATTGTCCATCACTCAGTATGACTCTATTACCCCACAAAATGATCCATCTGGATGTCTAACACTTGGTCCCGTCTATGTGGCTCCTCAGTTGTGCTTGAATTTAATTTTTATTAGATCTTTATATATGGATGGCATGCTTCATTTTCTTCTAATACTTGTATTGTATAGGATCCACAGACGGGCAAGACGGTTGGGGCGGGTCGTAGGGGACATAAGCTATATTTTCTGGAATATCTTCACCTTCCAGAGTCTATACGCCCACATTCTCTTGTTACTTCTGTTTGTTCATCAAAACCCTCTACCTCGCTTCCTGCTAATTTGTGGCATTGACGACTTGGTCATGTGTCTAATAAAAGGCTGGAGAGTCTTATTCAGTCTGGAGTACTAGGTCCTGTATCATCTTGTTCTTGTATTGAGTAATGTACTGGTTGCAAATTGGTTAAATTCACTGCTTTACTATTTAAAATGAGTACATCCTTATCCACTTCCTTATTTGATTTAGTACATTCTGATATTTGGGGGCCAGCTCCTTTGCCTTCTTAATCTGGCTACTTATATTATATTAGTTTTATCGACGATTTCTCTCATTTTATATGGGTTTATCTACTTAAGAATCACTCTGACGTACTTACTGCTTATCAAGCCTTCACTGCTATAATTTTCACTCAATGGCAATCTCGTATTAAAGTTTTTCGTTCTGATTATGCCAAAGAGTACCTATCCTCTACTATGCGCTCTATCATATCCTCCCATAGGACTATCTTTCAACAGTCATGTCCCTACACTCATGAGCAAAATGGTATTGCTGAACACACATATCATCATATCCTTAATACCGCTCGATCCATGCTCATTTCTTACTCTGTCCCTTGTCGTTTCTGGGCTGAGGCCATTCTCACCGTGACTCATGCCATTAATATCACTCTATCTAGCTCTCTTTCTGGTGTTACTCCTTATAGTCGTGTTTATACTCATCCTTCCCGTTATGATCTAGTCCGTGTTTTTGGTTGTCGATGTTTTGTTCTTCTGCCATCTCGCGAACGTGATAAATTGTCTCCCAGAGCTGTTTCTTGTGTCTATTTAGGAATTAGTTTAGAACATTGAGGTTATCATTGCTATGATCCCGCAACTCGTCGAGTTTATATATCTTGTCATATTCAGTTCGAAGAGGATTCTCCATATTATTCTACTTCTGATAACTTTAATATCCTCCACCCTACTAATTATCTTTCCCCATCAGCTGTATCACCCACTTTTTCACCTCAGTTT